TTTTTGGGGGTGCAGGTTCTTCTACATTTTGTCTCTCTTCTTCCTCTGCAATTTTCTGTGCATCTAGTTCAATAAGATCCTCGTTACTGAGCTCTTCTGCTACACTTTCAACCAACTGTCCAACATCTTCATTATCAATTTCTAACTCCAGCTGTTTACCTAACTCCACTATCTTGTTACTAATATCCGAAATAACTTCATTTTCATTAAATCCTTTGAAACTGTGCACATATCTTTTCAGGATTTTCTTCCATATTCCATTCATGAAATGTTTTGTAACCTGATCCCATGCTGCACTAATGTTCTTTATACATGACAAAATGTTGTACTCCTTCCAAAACTCTGAGCATTTTCTCACCTTCAGTAGCAGCAACATCCTGAGTGAAGGTCGTGCATAAATAATACTCTTTAAAGGCAGCAATAGCACCTTGATCCATGGGTTGGATGATAGAGGTAGTGTTAGGTGGAATGTACACTACCTTAACATCAGGGTGCATGTCGTCCAGGTGTGGTGGGTGTCCCGGAGCATTATCCAAAATCAGTAAAATCTTGAATGGAATCCCTTGTTGCAGACAATACTCCTTGGCTCGTGGAATGAAACAGTCAAGAACCAATCCTCAAACAGTACTAGGGTCATCCATGGTTTCTTGTTACTGCGATATAAAACACTGGCAGTGTGTGCTTGCTGACATTTTTAAAAGACCTTGGGTTCTCTGAATGATATATCATAAAGGGGTTTAACTTGAAACCAGCTACATTCTCACCCCCCCCCCCAACAGAAGTGTGATTCGGTCCTTGAATTCCTTGAATCCCGGCATTGTTTTCGCCTCTTTGTGGATGTATGTCCGTTAAGGCATGCGCTTCCATAATAAGCCAGTTTCATCCACATTAAGTATTTGCTCAGGCTGCCTCTCCACTCACCTTTACACTATGCAAACTGTAGAGGTTCTTAAACCTTTGGAACCACCCATGACTTGCTGTGAAGGTTTGGTCGCTCTCATCTCCTGCCTGTTCCTTCAGGCTTTCGAAAAGGCTTCTTGCCTTAGCCTGTAGGGTTAGGAGACTTAAGGGTACACGCTTTTGTATCTGGTCTTCCATCCACATCACAAGTAATTTTTCCATCTCATGAATAGGACCTTGTCCTTCAAAATAGTAGATATGGTCGAGTGCGAGAAGTCTAGGTCCCGTGAAATGGTTGCTACTGTTTTTCCATTTTCATACTGCATTATTATCTCCATTTTCATCTCAAAAGTAATTGACTGTCTCCTTTTCTTCTGAGCACCACCAGCACTCTCACTTCTATGCTTGCCAGTCATTCTAAAGTGAATTAGATACAAAAATAATGTCAGTACACAGCACGATCACTATCGTTAACAACGACAACCAAACACCAACTAAGCGCTCTATGGCGTGGGTGCTGTAGCCATGAGGCGGCACAACCCAGCCCAAGCGATGCTCTCGTCAGGGATGGAAACGTTTCGGTATAGAAAATATGGCGTCATTTGAAAAATTCTGGGTACCAACTGCGGCGGTCGTATGTGCAGGTGGTCATACCGACTGAGGCAGGTTGTAAGTGTGGGTAGTCGTAGGTCGAGTAAGTCGTAAGTTGAGGAGTAGCTACCATATACTGTACTACTGCTCTAACACAATTAGAGCAGATTTGGCAAATAAATGTTTATACACTATTTTGTTAACCATAAATATATTTGCTACTTAGCTTTCATCTCTATTCAAGTCACCTTCAGGTCATGAGCTGCACTAATCCCCTACCTTGACAATGAGAGATGGTCTTCATCCTCCACAAGGACAGATAACTTGGGATACAATAAACAGCAACCTGCATGGGACGCCATAACTACGAAGGGGAAACCAAGATGGCTTTCTTGTCTCCACTTGTGGAAGAACAATAAATGGTAATTATATAAGACTAACCCGTGAGCGAAATTGATTGAAAACAACTATAAACACGTCGGATTTTCATTGTCATATTATAATGGATACTGTTGTAGTTTGTGGAAATACGTTAAAAATGGATATTTTCCAAAAAACGTTACTTAACATTTGTGGGTATGAAGAACAGACCTAACCGACCAAACCAAACAAACCTACCTTACCTTACCTAACTTCCCCGGTAAATTAAACACAAAGAACTTACTATGATATGGTGAAATTTGAGGCACTTTCTGGATGTGAAATGATACAGCCGTATCGGCACAATGCAGCCCTGGCGGGTTAGTCCTATATATTAACCCAATAAATATAGGAACATACAGTTCACGTATTAACCAATGCTACTCAAAAGTAATTGGAAATGCTTCAAAACCCATAACAAGAGATTCGATTCCAACAATATGAAACTCTTCATTCATACACAGTATAGGTTTAAGCACCTAGTGCACTAAAAGAAAAAATTAGGGATTTGCACAGACAACAGACTCACGAATCTGGATAGTGAAGCCCGTATGATAAAAAAAAAAAATCAAACCTATATTTATGGTATTAAAACCCCTGATATAAGGCTCCATTGTTTATTTACAAGTTATGTGAGACCAAATTAAGAATTTATTAATTTAAGAGCAGACGACAACATGTGCAGACATAGCTGATTTTTCGGTGGAATAATTATGGTAAATAAATATTTTCATCGCTTACGAAGCACATTGAGACTTCATTTTAGTGTCATATGATCATTTTTTTTTTTTACCCCACAATATTTTTTCACTAGTTTCCTTGCTGTTTTAGATGATTCTGTCATTTATCTTTGGGGTAAATCACTTTTTCTTTTTTTTTAGTGAGGTTACCTGACCTAACAGGCCACGTCCTAACCTAACCTAGCCAAACTAAAAAAAAAAAGAAAAAAAAGTGATTTGCCCCAAAGATAAATGTCAGAATATAAAACAGCAAGAAAACTAGTGAAAAAATTATATTTTTCATGTGAAAAAAGGTGATGGGTGGTTAACGAAACGATAGCGACTCTGTGTGTCACCATAAAATCAAATTAGGACTTAGAAAAATTCGTAATTTTTACAGCTAATAATTCGCAAATAAAGCATTTATTTTAAAATGTGCCACTAAATTCAAGTATATTCTTTAGTTTCTTCATGAGATCTACTAAATGGGAAGAAAAAAAATCGTAAAAAGGTGATGGGTGGATAACGAAGAATAAAAAAATTTCCTTCTACGGTATTATTGCGTTTACACACAGTTCATTCCTACCACTAATCTATTATCATATTCAAATAAGACGTCTAATTATAAGATAATTTGCATCTATTACATTACCGGGGGAAATGTATAATAACGGAGATAGCTTGTCCAAAACTTTCTCTATTTTTTCCATTAATCTTCCTCCATTATCGTCTGCCTCTCCTCCAACACTGCATGTCTCCTGCGACTCCTTCGTAAACCATCATGCTTATGCGTTCCCGTACACGTCACGCGGCCAATCAAAAGTGTTTTTTATTTTGCAACCAATTAAAATTATTTTGGGTTTAATTTGCGGTATATTTGGCCCAATCAAATTCGAGTTTTATTTTGGGTCTCATATTTCAAAATTCAAGTTCAGTAACTTCAGTTCCAACCATGGCAGTCTGCGATGGGTGTCACTTCAATTATATGGAGCTGATGCCGAGTTTTTGGGAAAAAGACGAAGAAACTGTAGCATTTTTTCGATCGCATGGTGTTCTTCCAACCTCAGTAAAGTGTACTACAGTAGAAGTCCAAAAATCCGGACTGCTTGGGAATTAGGTCGGTCCGGATTTTAGGATTTTCCGGATTCTCAGGCAGTACTTTTAAAATTCAAATTTAAGGAAGAATAAAGAAGAGATGAACAGGTACATTTTGATAGTTTATTCATTAGCAAATATAGCATGCTTCATTTATCAAAACGAGCAGTTTTAAAGAAAAAGCTGTGAATTCCAATTTTATTCTTTGCCTTTTTTATATCATAAATTGTAGACTTTCCAATGTCGTATGTTTCCATTAAAACAGTATTGCTCACACCATGTTCTAGTTTTTTAATTATTTCAAGTTTGTCACTCAATTTCAACGTGTTCTTTCTCTTCACACAACGAAGTTTATCTACTTTAGGAGCCATTATTATGGGCTTGTACAGTACTCTGTAAAAGGAAAGAGTAGGACTCAAAATTACATACGTCGTCACAGTTTGAGTGCTCGTTTTAAAGTAGCGACCGCGCGTGGTTGCTTGTTGTCGCTGTGCAGCTGTGGCGCTCACACATGCGCACATACACACAAAAGCCAGCTAAAAAAAAAAAAAAAAAATTGAGTTTTCGAAAAGCCCGGATTCTCGGGTGGTCCGGATTTCTGACATCCGGATTTTTGGACTTTTACTGTATGAGCAAAACTGAATGTAAATATCGCAAAGACCAACATATGTGACGTTGTGTAAGAATCTCAGAATCCAACGACAAACAAGAAGCAGGCCAATAAGGTAATAAATAGGTGATTCTATCATATGGTGAGAGTCAGTTAGGTTAGGTTAGGTTTTTGTTTTTCTAGTATTTTTTGCTGTATTTTGCCATGATTTTTGTCGGAAAACGTCCAACAAAAAAAAATCGAAAAAAAAACGCTAATTTCTCTTAGAAATGAAGGTCATACTCGATCTAAACACACACAAATACACTAGAAAAATATATATTTAACTTTCTAACAGAGAACGGTGTGACAAATTTACCGCTTCTACAGCTCATAAAAGCCCACTTTGTGAGAACAGAATTGTTGATAGTGTGGGGGGGGGGGGACATATTTCCAAAACGGCTTATATCCGACGGAAATGGCCAGATTCCATTAAAACACCAAGAAACACACTACAAAACTTATTCTTGTTAGTAGTTTTCCCGGTACGCAAATTTCGAATCGTTACCACTAAATGCGTCGCTTAACTGCTCATTCAATAAAGAGAGTATTAAGTAAATGTTAAACATAAGAACTTATGCCTACTCCGTGATGCACTGAAACTCTTAATTAAAGATACAACTCACCGCGGTCAGCACTCTAAAGTCCTCTGTAGTAAGGTAACGTAACATTGATACCCTTAACTTCCCCATCTTGGAGTAATGGTATGAGCAACGCAACAAACTATTCCCTCCTTGCTACCACATGTGTTCAGGTACTGCCCGTCCAACAGCTGTTTCTGTTTATTTTCATTATGAAAACAAGATGAGACACTTCAACACTGACTGAGGAGATGTCAGGAAGATTGGTTATTTGGTTTACAATTTACTCAATAGGTGACAGTAGCGTTAGCGGGTTTTTTGTATGATCCAGAATTCTATGATATATATATATATATATATATATATATATATATATATATATATATATATATATATATATATATATATATATATATATATATATATATATATATATATATATATGCAAGTAAATCACTGTAGGTGCGCGTGATCTAGGTATATAGAAAACACGACTACATCTCTCAGGGTACTCACCCCTGAAGATGTGGAAAGCGCTTGGGAACTTCGTGTTTTCTTCTTCCTTTCATATATATATATATATATATATATATATATATATATATATATATATATATATATATATATATATATATATATATATATATATATATATATATATATATATATATATATATATATATATATATATATATATATATATATATTAGGGTGTGACAGTTGCCCCATCTTTGTCCTACAATGCTGTTCAAAATTTTGGTGTTGCATATTGACATAAAAAAATACCCACGTGCAATCTTTTGAAGATTCATGCATATTTGAGGGAGCTCCAGCAATTTGAAAAATAGCGATTTTGCTTATACGGCATATGCGCCTATATATGAGATTGTAGTGGATTCCTCCCCTACAAGCACCAAACCTTCTCGAATTCCCCAGCCTACGCCTCCAGCGCCGCCCACGGAGCGGGGGTCAACTATCTACCCACGCCTACCCCCGCCTTATAAGGCCTGACACCGCTGTTACCACCCTCTTTTCTACCCAGTGCCACCAGCACCTCCTCTTCCGCGCCAGCAACCTTTGCGTCCCTCAAGCCACATGCCCTCACTCTGGGCATCCTCACCACCCAGCTCTCTCTACTCAACGCTTATTACCATGCTACCTACCCAGCAACAAGCTGCATTGTACATCCAATACAATATGTATACAGTGAGCACATTGTAAGTTTCCTTTCTCCATCCAATCCTGAGTGTGAACCAATATCTTGTAGTGGACGTCTCCCCTACAAACTGCGTAGCTGCAGGCCACCTGCGACGCCTTCCCTAGCAACCAAACTAACGTGCCTTCCACCAGATGCCGCAGTATCCTAGCAAAGGAGCCAAAGACCGGTTACTTCTCGGGTTTTCCCAACATGACTCATAGATGACTCACGGCTGCTGGGTATATAAGCTCTGTCTCTCCATTGAGATTCATTCCGGCCTCTCTTGAACACGCAACACCTCCTCCTCCGCCGCTGCCTGGCGGCCCTCGCTTCTCCTCCGCCTGCCTGGCGGTCCTCGCTCCCGCCGGCGAGTATGGCGACCCACCAGCTGTCCTTCTCTGAGCGTCCTCACCAACCAGCTCTCATTCTGCTCTCGGTTCCTGAACACGCAACACCTCCTCCAAGCAAGCTCCTCGCTGTCCCGTTCTCATTCAACCTGGAGGCCAGCAACAGTTGTCAGTTGGTTGAAAATGTTCAAAGGAGGGCCACCAAACTGGTGCCTGCACTTCGGCACCTCAGCTACCCTGAGAGATTGGAGCGCCTGAACTTGCCTAGCTTATACTACAGACGGGCAAGGGGGGACCTAGTTGAGGTTTATAAGCATCTCAGGGGGCACTACTCAGTTGAGTGTCCTTACTTGGAGCTGGCGGACGCTCGCCCCACAAGGGGTCACAGCTCAAGATTGAAGAAGCTGCAAGTCCAGAAAACCGTGAGGGCAAACTTTTTCGGAGTGAGGGTTGTAAACTCTTGGAACAATCTACCAGAGAGTGTTGTGACGGCACCGAGTGTGAGCTCTTTCAAGAGAAGACTTGACCAACACTGGAGCGGGTTCAGGTACATTCAGGAGCCGGTACATGCCCAGTATTTGCCAACAGTGCGTGACAGAGACGTGACCGATCGCCCGGGCGGCTAGCGAGCCGACCTTTTGGTGAAGAATATAAAGGAAAAGAGACGTGACCGATCGCCCAAGCGGCTAACAAGCCGATCAGTGGCGAAGAGAATAAAAGTAAAAAGTAAAAGTAACATCTTCCCTAACGAAGCTCCTGCACATCTACCTCCTTCAACACGCTACTCACCGAACGTGTCTACTGAGCAGCTCCTCACCACACGGCATCTCCAGCACCAGACTGTCTACTATATAACTTATATTATATAAGAAAACCACCTTAGAGTTTCCATCCATCCTGAGTGCTAGACAACATTATACCACGAAACCTACAATACCAAAGACGCGAGGAGTAGGTTGATTCAAGAAAGTATATCCAAAGAAAGATCTACAAATTTTTAAACTGTTAAGGAAATTCAGGAGGGGATGATATGTCAAAGGATTAACATTTACTTAATGGGGAGGGAAACGAAGATTGAAAAACTCCAGAGGGATAGAGGGCTGGCTAAGTGTGGCAATTTTAACCAGAGTTTCATTTCTTGTTAACATTCTTTAATATAAACAAACTGACTATAGCAGCAAACGTGGATTTTATTTCTTATCCCTAATTACTTCGAGATATTTCTTTTGTCGTTAAAATAATTAAATTATCTTCATATATTATAAGTTAACCTTTTACCAAAATTCATGTAGAGGTAAACAGTTTAAAAAAATCATTGTTTTACGTCACATGTTGGTGAACCTCTCTTGCCTAACAGCCATGGCCGGGGTGTTTATCAAAAGTAATTTGTTAAGAGTTTCTTCAGCAGCTATTAGGTTCAGGCCAAAGACCACATACGTTGTCTTGTGAGTATCTATCACCATGTTACCTCATATTGGCGTGAGGGAAATCAATTTGTCACAAAATAAGTACGTTTTTTTTTATATAATTTTGGCTGTGTATCTCCAACTCGGCCCTTAAATAACCAACTCGGTCCATCTTAAATAACCAACTCGGCTCACTATAGGTTCAGGAATGAGTTTGAGATATATTTTGTCTTTTGGTTCACTGAAATACTAAGGGTTCAATCAGCATGAAGGACAAATTTTATGAGTATGTTAGTAGAACTTGATCAATGAACCATGATTCACATTCGTAACTTGTGCTTCTCCAGGTGATTTCGAATAGGGTTTGAAATTATTTCTTCTAGCAATTTGCCTACAGTTGATGTTAAACTGATTTGACAGTAGTTAGAGGATAGTGATCTATCCCCCTTCTTGAAAATCGTTATCACATTCGCTATCCTCCAGGATTCTGGCAATACACCCATTTTTAATGACATGTTAAACAAATTTGCGAGGGGCATACTAAAGCTCTTCCTTACATTCCTTGGTAAATTTGCATAAGCGCACCCGACTCTGTTAGAAAGTAAAAAATATAATTTTCTTGTGTATTTGTGTGTTCAGACCGAATATGGCCTTCATTGGCCAATTTTTTTTTATCAAATTTTTTTCGTGGGACGTTTTACGAAAAAAAATAATGGACCAAGCAAATACAAAATACACCAAAAAACACTAGAAAAACATAAACCAGACCTAACCTAACCTAACCTAACTGACTCTCACCATATGATGGAATCACTTATTTCTTACCTTATTGGCCTGGTTCTTGTTTGTCGTTGGATTCTGAGATTCTTACAGAGTTAGGACAATACCACATACAGTATGTTGGTTTTTGCAATATTTACATTGTCTTGCACTTAGGACACTACTGAGGTCGGGAGAACACCATGCGATCGAAAAAATGCTAGAGTTTTTTCGTTTTTTCCCCCAAAACTTGCAATCAGCTCCATATAATTTAAGTGACACCCATCACAGACTTCCATGATCGAAAATGAATATGAATTTGGAAATATGAGAGACCCAAAATAAAAATAGATTTTGATTGGGCCAAAAATACCGTGAATTAAATCAAAAGTAATTTTAATTGGTTGCAAAAAAAAAAAGCTTTTGATTGGCCCTGTGACGTGTATGGGAACGCATGCGCGTGATGATTTATGAAGGAGACACGCAGTTTGGGAGGTGAGGTAGGCGATAATGGCGGAAGATTAATGGAAGAAAATAGAGAAAATTTTGGATACTCGATCTCCGTTATTATACATTTGCGACGGTAATGTAATAGATGAAAATTATCTTATAATTAGACGTCTTATTTGAATATGATAATAGATTAGTGGTAGGAATGTGGGGTGTGAAAATGCAATACTCTGGCAAATATCTCATTGGGACCTGGTGACTTACTAGGCTTTAGCTTGTATATTTGCTTACTACTATCTTGCTTAATCTATTTTCTTCATTATCTCTGTATACTGTATAGTCAGTGCCTCGGGTATCATGTTTAAATTTTCAGTGGTGAAAACTTGAAAAATATCTATTCAGATTATTGTTAATTTCTCTATCGTTATCAGTTAGCTCGCTGGTATTGGTCCAATTGGTAAAGGTTTATGAAACTGTTATCACCCGAAGGAAATGTGCGATTTGGTTAAAAAATTTTTTGCACATTATTAGCATGATATTAAACACAGAAATAGAAATGACAATACATAGAACCTAATAGAACCTGACCTAACATACCCATAGGTTCGGTATGTTAGGTCAGGTTCTATAAAGTTCGATGCATTATCGTGTTAATTTATGTGTAAAACAACTGACCTTAATATTGACGTTGATATACATCAGCAATGGCGAGGAGGAATTCGTGGAAGCGTTCACCATCATTTAGGAAATGTCTCTTGAAGAGGGATTTAACGAGATAAACAACAAATTTGGTGCCCTGAGGAGAATTGTGAAGCGGAATAGAGTAAATAAAAAAAAAATACTTTAAATTATACTTGAAATATGTTGTTTCTTTTAATATACAGGTAGTACCCGACTTACGACCGACTCGACTTGACTTGCGTCCACCCGCACTTACGACCGCCTCAGTTGTACCAAAATGTGGTCAAATTATGTATTTTTGAGTCCCAAAATCAGTACACAGACAAAATTTTCATCTGTAATTCACTTTAAAATGGCTGGCAAGCTTAAAAGTGAGTGTTTTTTTGGTGCTGAGAAGAAAAAGAGACCCAAATTTTCGTTTTTCTATGTGTTATTTAAGCATTTCCGACTTAGGACCATTTCGACTTACGACCTGGATGTCGGTCCCTAACCCCGTCGTAAGTCGGGGAGCACCTGTACTTAGATTCATCAAAACAATAAGTATAACAAAAATAAAGAAATTCAACAAAAAAATCTAATGATAACAGTTCTGTAAACATTTACCATCTAATCTTGTCTCGTGTTTTAGTTTGATACATTTGAAAGCATCCCTTGGGGTTTAACTTCTCCTTGCCTTTCTTATCTCGGTCTTAACCCTACTGACTAATACCTTATAATAATCTCGGAGGTAAACTTCATGATTTATTCTCCAACCTTTAGCCTTCCTTTGGCCAATAATATTCTTTAAATAATTATTTATCTATTTGGGGTCAATGTTATTTGATCCAAGTTTTCTGTATGGTATGTTCTGCCTTTGTGCATTAAGTAACTCATTATTTTAATTGTTGTAGAACTTGTCAACCTCAGATCTCGTGATCAGGTCACCAGGTAAAATGAGGGTCGCTTTCTGTGGGTACATTGTTGTGGAATGTCAACCTCAGATCTCGTGATCAGGTTATCCTCAACCGTCATATTTTGTCGGGTTATCGTTGTCAGGTCTCTAGGCAAAGTGAGGTCGCCCTCTGTGTAGGTGTTAGGTTACAGGATCAGTCACATTCTGAGTCTTTGACCATGGCTGACCAATGCTTGGTATGCATGGCAATAGTGCGTCCCCAATAGGAAGGACTCCAATGCGATGGTTGTAACTTCTTCCACTTGTGTACATTAATATATTAAAAAGATCAAATGAAAAGATAAATAATAACAACATCAATTCCCCCCCCCCTCTTACAATCTATGCTGCTTTATATCATTGTACTTTTGTACTTTTATCATTCATGCAGAAATAAATGTGTAAACTTTTACTTTTTAGTCCAAGCTCGTTCACCGAAGTGGTCCGAGTTGGTTATCCATGGTGGGCTGAGTTGGTATATGATGGACCGAGTTGGTAATGGGCCTAGTTGGCAATGGGCCGAGTTGGACTGTAACCCATTTTGGTCATTTATCAGATTAAGAGTCATTTGGGCAGTCTATTCACTGTTAGAATTATATACCCTGTATATATATTTGGTAAAGGTGTGGAAAAGGGTGACCACCGGAAGGAATTGTCCAAATTGGTTGAATTTTTTTTCTACAAACTAATATCATATTAACACAAAAATGGAAACGACAGTGCATGGAACCTAATAGAACCTGACCTAACATACCCATAGATTGGGTATGTTAGGTCAGGTTCTATTAGGTTCGATGCATTATCGTGTTATTTTATGTGTGAAACAACTGACCTTAATATTGAGATTGATATACATCAGCAATAGCGAGGAGGAATACGTGGAAGTGTTCACCATCATTTAGGAAACTTCTCTTGAAGAGGGATTCAGCGAGATAAATAACAAAAAGGATGCCGGGAGGAGAATTGTGAAGCGGGATAGAGTAAATAAAAAAATCCCTAAAAAATACTTAAAATTATAATAGAAAGTTGCCTTTTCTTTAATATACTTAAAATCATCAAAACAATAAGTATGGAAAAGAATAAAGAAAATCAACAAAACAAGTTCTTCTGGTGGCCACCCTTTTCTACACCTTTACCATATACTGTACTGTATTTTATTGGTTGTCAGAAAGTTTAGGTAAATGCATAAGTGTTTTATTATAAAGTGCATTATACGAGTTAAGCATCACTACCTTGATAATGGGATATTATTTAACTTGTTGCCACTAAACGAATCTGGGGAATTTTATTTCCTTTAATCCTCTTCACCACTGACCGGCTCGTTAGCCTCTTGGGCGATCGGTCACGTCTCTGTTATGCACTGTTGGCAAGTACTGGGCATGCTCTGGCTCCTGATTGTATCTGAACCTGCTCCAGTGCTTGTCAAGTCTGGTCTTTAAAGAGCTCACAGTCAGTGCCATCACAGCACTCTCTGGCAGATTGTTCCAAGAGTTCACAACTCTCACTCCGAAATGTTACCCCTCACAGTTTTCTTGGCTTACGGCTTCTTCCATCTTGAGTTTTGACCCCTTTTGGGGCGAGCGTCCGCCAGCTCCAGGTAAGGACACTCGACAGAGTAGTGCTCCTTGAGATGCTTATACACCTCAATTAGGTCTCCCCTTGCCAGTCTGTAGTATAAGCTAGGCAAGTTCAGGCGCTCCAATCTTTCAGGGTAGCTGCGGTGCCGTAGTGCAGGCACCAGTCTGGTGGCCCTCCTTTGGAAATTTTTCAATCAACTGACAATCCCTAGCATATCTCGGGGATCAGATGGGGTGACAGTAATTCAGGTGGGGAAGCTCTTCACTCTTGAAGATCTTTACAAGTGATGGACCGTCTAGACATCTGAACGACCTTCTTATAAGACCTAATAATTTAGTTTCCTGATTTACCTTCTTCTCACAGTGGCCCGAGAACTTCAGCTTTTGTCAACGTACACGCCTAGGTCCTTTTTACATTCAGTCTCAATTAATGCAGTTTCTTCGTCCCGTTGGGACATACGAGACGCCTCCTTACCGTTGGTATTTCCCATGTGCATCCTCTTACACTTCGTGACATTGAATCTTAGCAGCCATTTCTTCGACCATTCTTGGTGCTCACAGAGATCCTTCTGCAGCTCTTCGCAGTCTGCTTGGTTCTTGATTTCCCGAAATAACTTGGCATCATCCACAAACATTTGGGT